GATTTTTTTTAAAGCAGACTGCTGTGTGCTCTCCTGTGGTTGCACAGCCCAGCGTCACAGCGCTGTCATTGTAGACCCCGCTCTTTCCTTCGGTCTTTTTCCAGACAGTTTTTTATAGTTGAAAACAACCAGCAAGCCTTTGATGACCTTGACCAAGGGGACTTTATTTTAAAGCTGTCAGGTCCGAGTAACTGACCACAGATGACTGAATTTGCATTCTTCTGCATAAGTATTTTCTTTAGAAACAGCCTACACCACCTAAGAAACTACCTATCATGTGCATTCTCTCAGAGGGGAGACCACAAGCCCTCCAGATGCTGAGACCCAAGGAAACACCTCGCTGCCTTAACTGTCCCTTCTGGCACTAACAAGAGCTGTATTTTTTAAAATATATTTTTATTGATTTCAGAGAGGAAGGAAGAGGGAGAGAGAGATAGAAATACCAATGATGAGAGAGAATCATTGATCGGCTGCCTCCTGCATGCCCCCCACTGAGGATTGAGCCCGCAACCCAGGCATGTGCCTTGACCAGAATCGGATCTGGGACCCTTCAAGAGCTGTATTTTGAAAGTGTTGGGGTGAATAAAGGGACTCCCAAAGAACTCATGTGTGTTAAAAACCCAGTGAGGAACAACTGGTGATTTTTATGCAAGCATTAAATAATTCTTAATAAATAAATCTCTTTTTTGCAATCACACACACACACACACACACACACACACACAACTTTGGAGATAGTGAAAGGCAGTTTGTACTGTTGAGAGCTCAGAATTAGAGTTTAATTGGGATAGAAATCCTGCTAATAGCACCTGATGCCTGAAATCTGAGCACTCTACTGTTAGGCTTTCCAGTTCAAGTTTTTGGAGACTGCCTATTAAACACTCCTGGTTGGAAAGTATTTGTATAGAAGCCCATAAGTATTAAGTATTTGCTGTGTTTACCATGCTTAGCTCTTGGTAAGGAATATGGAATAATGTTAAATGCCTCATGTTCTCAAGAAGCTTGAATTTTAAAATAAAAATAAAGAAGAAATGTAAATATTAAAAATAAAAAATAAGAAGCTTGAGTTTTAGGAGCAAAATCAGGCAGGCAGGCAAGCGATTAGGAGCCAGCAGTCCCAGATTGCGAGAGGGATGTCCGTGTGATCGGGCCTAAACTGGCAGTCAGACATCCCCCGGTAGGTCCCAGATTGCGAGAGGGTGCAGGCTGGGCTGAGGGACCCACCCCCCCTTCTGTGCACAAATTTTGTGCACTGGGCCTCTAGTTTATCATAAAATTATAATTTTACACAGAAACGAATAATACCCATCTCCATGTTGGAACTTGTGGGCATACTTTCTCAGTTCAGACTCTAGGAGATTTCCACATGTTTCACTACAGGGAAGCACAGGTAGTGATTAGGAAGAACTAAAACTCTCACCTTTTAGTTTGTACAAACTAAATACTATCAGGCAGCTTAATACTATCAGGAAGGGAAATTTAGATATCATTCATTCATTCAACAAATGTTTATGTGCTTGCCCAGTAAATGCCAGTTATGCATTGGGGGCTCCTATACAATAGTGAATAAGGTGCTTGTCCTTAACCCCCACTTTTGCTGCTGCCAGGTTTCCCTCTACCTCCAATCCTTGCATGTGCTGCCCTTTCTGTCCACCATGCCCTCCCTCCTGCCTGTCCCAGTCATCTGACTCAGCCTGAGGTTTCAGCTCCATTGGACATGATGCTCAGTGGTGGCTTGCCCAATCTGCTCCCACACTCACAGCTCTCTACTCTTCACTTTATGGCTCCCGCCGTGATGGTTATGATAGGGTTGTGCGGTTATTGGACTCACCAAAGTCTCTTCTCTCTAGATTGTAAGCTCTCTGAAGGCAGGGACCACATCTGTTACGCCTACTGTTTCCTAGTATCTAGCAAGGCACATAGTAGGCATTTAATGTAAAATATGTTGAGGATATGAATGAAATCATGCATACATTCTTCCCTCAAGAGCTAGTAGGAGATAGACAAATAAGCACATCAATATCTATATAAATAGCTATGAGTGACGGGCTCTGGGAAACAGAGCCATTTTGCTGAGAGAGAGCTTGGATTTGGGCCAGCTCCCCCATAGAATCAAGCCCAAGGGTGTGCTCCTGGCTTCTCTGCAGAAGGGAGCCCGAGAGAACTCGGACCAGGAGCTATCCCTCCCTGAGTGTCTGACAGATTCAGACAACCAAGCAGAACTACTGCGTCAGCTGGGCTGTCCGAGCTCAGGGCTCAAAATTAATATAGCCCAATGCCCACTTTAGAGGTGGGAAAGCCAAGATGTGCATGACCTTCCCAAGGTCACAGAACAAGAGGCAGAACCGAGAACCCTGGTTCCCCCCAGCTCTGGGACTAGCGCTCTCCCACCTCCTCAGCATGTCCAAGTTCAAGGGCAAAGGAGCATTGGTGGGTTTCAAAACCCTCACAAGCTTTCTTTGAACTCCCACAAGATTTAAAAGCAGTTGGCTGGGAATAGAAATGTAACTGCTCAAGAAGAGGTGAGATGAGGGGGCCGGAGGAGGAAAACAGGGAAGAGAGAAAGCCGGTCCAGAAAGGCCGCCTGCCTGGCTCTGGAGTCAAGCCCACAGGGTGGTTATGTGTGGGGCTTGGCAGTGCAGCCGGGCAGCCAGCGGGCACTCAGGAAGCGGTGCTCAGGTCCCAGCGGAGGCAGTCTGGGCTGCAGGATGGAGATTTATTAGCAGAGCTGTGCTCCAAGCCGCGGCAACCTGGCTCTGCTGCTGATTCCCAGAGGCCTGGGGTGGAGGGAGCAGGGTTTGGGAGTGGGGGAGTGGGGACAGGCTCTTGAGGTCGTTTGAATTGGGCTAGAGGAGCGTTCATACCTGACCACAGCTCTCGGGCCTGCTGTTATGGTGAGGAGCCCAGAACCGAGCACCCAAGTCCCTGGCCCGGGCTATACTTCTCTGCTGGTGCAGGGCTGTGCTGGGTGCCTCTGTGTGCACAAGGGCTGGCCCTCAGGTCAGGGCTTTGCATCTGTGTGCGCCTGCTCAGGCTGGCTCCTCTGCGGAGAGAGGCCCCGCTCACCTGGGGCCAGCGGGCAGGTGGAGTGTGGAGGACAGGCTAGGGCAGCTGAAGGCCTTTCTCTCACAGCACCAGCAGCGGGCCTGCGCGCAGTTGTCCTATGGGGTTTGCAGGCAGGGGACAGAGGGTCAGGCGTCATTCGCTGGATAGGCTGCAAGAATGACTTGGCTCAGGGCTCCCTAGTGGTCTCTCACCCTGGTGTTCAGGCATGTCTTTCCTCCAAGAGCTCCTCTCAAGGTCGCCGAGAAAATGAAGGACTGAGGAGGACCAGCCTTTGCCGGTAGGGAGCAGGCTTTGGGGCTTGGGAATTCTGAGAGATGGGAATTCAAGGGCAAGCAAGCCTCTGCCTCAGTCCTTACACTTCTTAAGATCCTTCCTGTTTTGCTGATGGGAACAGGCATTAAAGGTACCATGACGGTCCTGGCGGGCGTACCTCAGTAGTTGGAACACTGGCTCGAGCACTGAAGGGTCATGGGTTCTATTCCCAGTCAAGGGCACATGTCTGGGTTGCAGGTTTGATTCCTGGCCCGGGCATGTGGGAGAGGCAACCAATTGATGTCTCTCTCTCTCTCCCCCTACCACTCCCTTCCACCCTCCCTAGAAATCAGTGTAAAAAATATCCTCCAATGAGGATTTAAAAAATTGTACAAATTGTGTAGTGCTCAAAGGCACACACATCCCATTAAAAAAAAGCTTCTGTGAAGCCCAGAGGTGGACAGAAGGGAGCTCCGAGGTAGTTAGCATTTCATATTTTGATCATCACCCCCTCATCTCACACCCTATCCCCCGGGGGAAATATTTTCCCCAGCAGTTTTATTTAGCTCAGCCTGGGGTTAGAGGCTGAAGCTTGGGAGAACGGGAACACACTCATCTTTCCATTTCCTCTTCACGCTCCCCTCCCGGGCTCTACCACCGCCACCAGCGTTGCGGGGGCAAAGGCACCGTGGCATCCAGATGGGCCCTGTTTCCTTCAAGGATGGGCCTATTCCAACTTCATTTCACTGCCTCCCCTGAGCATTGAATAAACATTTCCAGAAGGATACAGATAAGGAAAGAAAAAAAAAAGAGAGAGAGAGAGAGAGATCTTATGTAAACACTAGAGGGCTAGAGACCAGGAGATATTATTAGTTTACTAGGGCTTTAAAAATACCCCAAAGCTCAACTAAAGGAAAGTAGAATTTGCTTTTCATTTTACCCTCTGTTATTGTTGCGAGGGTCAGGAATACAATAGAAGCAGGGATCTCAGGAGACGGGTGATATTACGAAGATCACAGCGAGGGCAGAGAGGGAAGTTGCAGAAATCTGACTCTGGTGACCTTCTGGGCCAGTGAGGAATGGGGTTGGGAAGTGGGGAGCTGTTCTTTGCATACATTAAGGACAGGACAGCCAGGGGTGATGCAGATCCAACAGAGCCTTCTCCCTGTGCCTTGCAGGAGCTTATCTGGTTCCCGCCTCTGTGTTCCCAGGAGCACAGCCGACGTCCCCACAGCAGCATCTCTATATGCTGTTCCTTCCACGTGAAAGCTTTTCCCAGGCACTTTGCTTAGCTGACTCCTCATCCCTTCCGGTTTCAGCTTAACTATCACCTGCATAGCGAGGCCTTTCCTGGTCTACTGTTGAGAGGTCTGATTGTAGGGATCACAGTCTTGGAAATCGACCAGGCAAGTCTTTGAGTTAAAATAACCCAATTGGACAGGTAGCCCATTACCCATCTCCATCGTATTTTTATTTTATAAAAAGCCAACCAATCCCCCTATTAATTCCCCATAAAATGTTGAGAAACGTTGTCCCAGGAGAGTGACCAAGCATCCTGGTTTGCTGAGGTGGAGGGACTTTGGGGACACGGGCCTTTCAGGAACGTCTTGGGCAAGCTGGGGTGATTTGGTCACCCCAAGTCTCTTCGTCTCCAGTAAAAGACGCTCAACAAAATATCTCTGGTATAATGTTTATTTAAATAGTAATCTTAAAAAGGCTTTATACAAATCATATAAACACAGTTTGACATTGTTGTTTGTTTAATTTTTACATTGAAGAATCACAGTAAAAGCTCTCAAGTTCCCGTGATCTGGCTCAGCCAGCAAATGGTCGTATACCTTTAACTGCAAACCCTGGAAAAGTTAACCTGTGTGATGGCTTAACTTCTCCCCTTGTTTTCTTGCCATTCGTGCTCATTCCTTGGACCCTTATCCCTGTCAACTCCTCATTCCCACCTAAGAGAGAAAGCAACCTGTGGCCTGTGGCCTGTCTAGTCCGGGAGAGCGTGGAGGTAATGTGTCAGTCAGTACAAGGCAAAAAAGGAGATCAATACTGTGAGTTGGGTTTCCCAAAGGGAATGACTTAAGGAAACGGGTCAGCCAGCCCACCTGCCGATGGAGATGACAAATGCACCAGGGTGCCCTCTGGCCAAGTTATAATCGGGGGGCCACTATCTTTCTGTCTCGTCAGAGACCAGCCTCCAGCATTGGTGAGGTATCTACACGCAGCCCTGGGGAGCCTGCTTTTGTTCAGCATTCAGGGCCCGCCTGGGGCTTCACGGAGAACATGGATACAGAGGGATGCAGGCTGAGTTGTATGTAACTTAGAGGTGAACTGCAGGCTGGAGACAGGGCTGGTCTTTGGGGAGCTGTAACACGGTCCATTGGGCATGAGACAGCCAGACCCCCAGAGTAGACGTCTGAACTTCTCTTCTTCTGTAGGCTGCTCCTGTAAATCCCCAGGACTTGCTAGCTTCCTGAACACGGAGCCACACGGGAAGGCGAAGAGGAGGGTAGGCTACTTAAACACTTGCTTCTGCTCTACGCCCAGCTCAGGGTGGGCCTAAAGCTAAGCCCTTGGGCTTGACGGCTTTACTTTTCACCTCTAACTACCACGGTGCCAGCGAGTGCTGAGATCAGCAGTTAACTCAGGCCCTCGGTCAGAGTCAAAGTCACAACAACACCACTGAGTCCCACGTGACCATTCACATACACAGTAGATACAGAGAACTCAAAGGCGGCACAGACACACACACGTAGGAATAAATAGCTGTTGGCATGAGTCCCTCTCTGCACACAAAACATGGTGACGTTCCCATGTGAACCAGCATTTCCATGAGTTAACACAGGAAACTGCCAGCCCCATTCACCCTCCCCCTTCCACCTGGGCACGAGACACATGAGATTGGGGTGACCATAGCAGCAAAAATGGTCGGACAGTTTATGCGATAGGCTGGGCACGCCGGTAGAGTTTCAACCAGCACACAGGTAAACCTTAGGCGTCACTACAAAATCAGATTTGGATCTTGACGCGGACAATCCTATCCTTCGCACAGGTTCATCCATTCCTGATGTGCCCCCTTCTGGAGCAGCTGAGAGTCATCTGGGCAATGACGACCACTTGGGCAGCGGGCTTATTCCATTAGGTCAGCGGTGAGGTGGGGGAGCTGGGCGGGGAGCCCCTGGGGTTAGGGAAGGAGGAATGCCTTAACTTGTATGATATTCACTGATTTCGACATAGAGGGAAAATACATTTTTCTTCACTTTTTCAAGGCACTTAATAAAAAAAAACACATAAATTGGTGCGTGTATGTGTGTGAGAGAACATCGGTCTCTCTGGGGTTCAGACAGGGTTGCCAGCGTTTTGGTTCACAGTGCTTGCAGACTTCCGGCGAGACACCCTGACATCCTGGCCCCCTCTCCTGAAAGGTGGAGGTGGTGGCCGTAACCCCAAGGAGAGATCAATGTTTACTCGTGGAGAGGCTGACTCATCAAGATTCTCTGTACGGTCTGCTCAGCCTTTGCCATCACACGATCAGGGGCTGGACTTCTTTCCCCCTCCACTGCCCCTTTCCACCCGGTGGGCACCAGGCACCTGGCACCGACAGAGAAAACAGCTTGTGTCTCCCCACCCCACCTTTGAGACTATCAAATGAGGCCTTTCCTGGGGCTTAGAGACATATGTGGCGGGGGGGTGCATGCATGTGTGTGCATGTGTCCATGTCTTAGGAGAACAAGGAGGGGGGCGGGAAGCAGAACCACCCCCAGAGGCCCCGCAGGAGCCCCACAGCCATAAATCCTGGTCTGAATGGCTCCTATTCACAAAGCTCCTTAAGGCTCGTCCACGTCTAACATGGAGGTGCTTCCGTGGATTTTGACGTGTGAAGTTTCCTTTCTGGTTTGTTTTAAATCGCATGTAGGAAAGAGCTGTTCGTGCTGACCCTAAATGGCAATTTTCCCCTGGATAAAAAAAGCTAAAGGCAACGACATCCTATGTAAATGCTAGGACTGGGCACGGCAGCGCGCAGGGTGGGCGGCAGGGCCTTCGCCACAGCAGATCCCGTAAGTCAGGAGATCAGGAGACGGGATAAGCTGCACGGCTTGGATTGTGAGTTTTTTCCCCTGAAGGTGGAAAGTGTGAAAAGACCCTTTGCTTTTCAAGCGTTGATTAGAAACAGAAAGCAGAGAATAACGATCCCCCTCTGCTTCTATGCTAGAAAAGCCATTCTCTTCTGCCTCTTCGAGTTGCTCACAGACCAAAGAAATAAAATATAATAATAATTAATAATAATAACAAACTCACAAACGAAAGAGAACTGTGACCCCAAAGAGATGAGCTCCCGTCTTTGTCCCAGCAATGACTCGGCCCCCCGCGGTGCTAGGTGGGTCGTGGCACCCCTCCCTACCCACGCGGCTGCATCTCCCTCTTCCCTCCACTTGCCCGCCTGCCCTGCCCACGCCTTCGGTAATTCTGGATCAGTTTGATCGAGATTATGGCATTCAGTTTCCAAAGGGGAGAAAAATTGTAATCTTCACTAGCCCCTCTCGCTGGAATGAAACGTCAGATGCGATTTGGGTGCAATCCGTCACGCCTCGGAGCAGCACTTCTGGTGGTTCATCTTGACCTTGTGCTTGAGGCCGTCGTAGAGCTCGAAGTTGTAGTTCTCGAGCGTGGTGCAGCTGCGGGAGCTCAGGCCCGAGTAGGAGCAGGTGCAGTAGAGCAGCAGCCCGGCGCATGTGGCCCCCAGGAGGACGCCCAGCGAGCTCATGGCGATGATGGTGATGAGGATGGGATCCAGCGTGTAGAGCCAGCTCTTCTCTTTGTCGGCCGAAGGGGTGCTGGACCCTGAGGTGGAGGAAGAAGCATTGCTCCAGTCCACTTCGTACTCGTCTAGGACAGAAAGCACAGGACAGATGGCAGGCAGTGCTTCTGGCGGGGCGAAATACCTGAGCCTCCCCAGAGGGTCTTCAGAGCGTGGGTTGGAAGCCGGGACTTAACACTGCTTGGCTTCAACGCCCAGGCCTGCCACAGCCTCGCTGTGTAACTTCGGGAAAGTTATTTAACCTCGCTTTGCCTCAGTTCTCTCATCTGTAAAATGGGGATATTAGTAAAGTCTACCTCCCTTGGTTGCTAGGTGAACTACATGAATATTGATAAAGTGCTTAGTGTCCAGCACATAGTGAGTATAGTCTTAAGTATTTGAGACTTAGATAATGTCACTAAAGCTAAGTAAATACATATTATAACAGGGTGCCTTCGGAGCCCCAGGGATGGCCCTGTGTTTGGGCACCCTTCCTCCTTCTCCTCCTCATCCCTTACTTCCAAGGGGCTCAAGTTAAGTCGAAGGGCAGGCTGAGGCTATTCTCACAGCAAGAGTGTCTGCATAGCATTCCTGGCCATCCGAGCAGCAGATGTTTTTCAAGCCACCAGGCTTCACTTGACATCCGTCTTACCTTACTAATGGGTTGAACTATGTCCCTTCCCCAGACTCACATGTTGAAGTCTTAAATCCCAGAACCTCAGAGTGTGACCTTATTTGGAGAGAGAAGCTTTACAGAGGTAATCAAGCTGAAATAGGGTGGGCCCTAACTCAGTGTGACTGAGTGTTCTTATAAAAAGGGGAAACTTGAGACAGCCAGAGACGGCAGATGGCCATGTGGATACAGGCAAGGCCATCGACAAGACAGAGAGAAAGGCTTGTACCAGATTTCCCCTCACAGCCCTCAGAAGGAAGCCACACGGTTGACACCGTGATCTTGGACTTCCAGTCTCCAGAATGAGGAGAAATACATTTCTGTTGTTTAAACCACCCAGTGTGGCCAAGGCATGACGATACCCATGGCTTATTTTGTGGGATTTCCTGATAATTCCATGAAGAAAGCAGGGTGATATATATATATAGACGATGAAACCGAGGTTTTAAGGAATTAAGTGACTAGGTCACTCACACAGGGTCCCGGAGTCAGCAAGCAGTTGCACCGGCCCCTCAGGCTTCCTGCACCCTCCGGCCCTCCTCCTCCCCGTCAGTGCTCCTTGCTTGATCCACTGCAGCCTCCGCGGAGGCCAGTTGCACAGCTTTGCCCATAAAAGGAGCGTCAGGCCGGGTTTGCAGGCAGAGTCTGCGTTCAGTTAACAAGGTGCTGTTTGGATTAGTCACTCTGTTTCTATAACTACACTTGAAGTGTTTGATTAAGGTCGGGTGGAAAGCAGCTGCTCTATAAACTGCTCTTCTTAAATGCATCAATCTTGGTCTCAAAGCTGTTCTCCGAGGGGAACCTTCGCGATCCCTCTTGGAGATCAGCTCTGGCCCTCAGAGAAGCCCGGACAGACCTGTGCTGCTCTGAGCCCAGGGGAGAAATGACATCTACATGTCTGCCCAGGGGCCCTTTAGTCGGGATTCTCGCTCCAGCCTCTTGAGTATGTGTTTGAAGTGGGAAGACAGAGCTTGAAATAAAATGAAAACACGAGATGGGCAGTGTGAGAAAGAAACATGGATCTTGCAGTGAGCCCCCACTTGGAGACTTGGAGAGTGTGAGAAAGGTCCCTACATGCCAGTTAGGGCCTGGGAGGGGATGCACGGTGACGCTCATTCACGCGGCACCTTTTGGAAGGAGGTTAATGGGTTCAAGCAGTGACTCCTGTAGAGGACCCTGGCCTTCACTTCTCCAGGGTTTCTCCAGATTTGACGTCCATCGATGTTGAAAGTTGCCCGAAGTAGGGGACCTGTTTCAGATTAGGCAGAAGGGACTCGATACACTTTCTAAACTCTAAAGTTGACCTTGACAGAGCAATTGGTGGTTTCTGGCCCTCTGCAGTACATCTTTATAACCAAACTTGAATTTCATGATTATCTGCTAAATCATAGTAATACTCACCAACAATTTCATCTTCGTAGCCCTCTCTCCCATGTACTTCTGGGATGTCCACTATAATGAAAAAGGAAACAAACAAATCAAGCTATAACCAGTTCTATCACCATGGCTACAAGGCAGAGACCAGACCTTTCTGAGAACGACTCTTCGGTATGTTGGCAGCTCAAGCATCCCATCTGCTTCTAGATCATGTAACAGGGATATTAATGGAGCCTTTTCCCTCAAAGGATCTGTCTTTACTTCCAGTAACCAGAAGAACAGAAACAATAGGAAAGGTCTTTAGTGCCAAGTAAATCCTTACTTGTGTCTTTATAATGATGGTTATTCATTAGAAATATAGGTCTGAGTTTTGAGGCAACTTCAACGACACTGCATGTCCATCCTCAGTTGTCATGACTGTGTTGTTCATCTAGTATAACATGCTGACCCTCCTTATATGATGATGCATCGAAGTGGACACAGAGTACAAGAGCCTTTCTCCTCTGGATTTCAAATAAATGTATGGAAATTTAAGGAAGTCACGTTTCATCATTATATGCTTCAATGTAGACGTAGAATTGGAAAGAATGTCATGCCGATTCACCTTCACATATCTGTGCTAATATCTCCCATCTTTCCTTTCCCGTCTATTTTTCTATTGGCTTTCTTCAGTTTAGAATAGATCAAACATGGGCATCCAATCTGACTAGCCCAGTCTTGAATACAGCTGAGTTAATTTACTCTGAATTTTCTCTAGTATTATCACTATCTTTTTCTTCTTTTATGATAATATTTTGGGGAAGGGGATAATACAGGTTTCTCTATTCACTATGCTGTCCATCTTATAGAAATCAGAGCCAATAAAATTACATGTCTAAAACGGAAAATCATTTAAAAAGAGAATCAAATATGTGGTGAAGAACAGTGTCTTATCACTTCTTCCAATCTCATGAGTTAATTATGCTTGTTCCTGCTGTCAGCAAAATGGCACCAAGTGAAGGCATGTGGCCCTGTGAGAGTTTTATTCAGCCCAAAGTCAGGTGGACAACCTTGAAGTCAGCACTATAAAATGATATGCAGAAATCAAGGCTTACCACAAAACCCAAATCCTAAACAGCTACAGTATCAAACAAAAGGAATAAAAGAGCTTCAGACCAGCCTGAACTTCTTGATCAGCACAACATCTCAGGGAAGGTCGACTTGACCATGACCTGAACTGAAGATCCATCCATCACAGCCACACAGAAAATTCAGACTTTTCCTGGAGGTGCTCGCTGTAATCATGTTACAACCTCATTCCTGGCAAAAGTGCTAAAGCACATTCTCATCCCCTTGGTGGCCCAGAAGAGATGCACAAAACAACGTGCCAAGACCCCACTTGAAAGGATCGATGCCACTGGCACCAATCCTTCATAAATCCTGCCTGCTCCTGGCATGGTTAGAGCACAGCAACTGGCACCTGCAGGCTGTGCCAGCCTCCCCACCTCGGTGCCCACCTCCTGCATTATTCTCCAGGCCTCGACAATGCAGACTGTTTCCCTGGAAGAAAGACGTGGACACGAATCAACAAGAGGCAGGTGGTGTCTGTCATGGGGATCAAATCAAACTTGTGAAAGTCAGCCTGGAGATTTTTTTTTAACCTTATGAAAAATAAAACAAACATGGGAGAAAGGGAGAAAGCCATCACATTTCCAACCAGTAATAGTTTTGATGCTCAGAGGTCTTAATACCTTCATGGTTAAAAGATGCGGAACATTGGATGAGACTATGAATGAGCCTAGAACAAAAATTGTGGGGCTCCTATCTGTGAGTTTTGGGCCAAATCCTGTTCTTGCTTTTAGGTACTTGGTCTTCACAAAGGATGCAACGAGTTCTTAGAGGCTAGTCATCTTGCTCCATCTCACACCGCAAAGAAGAACTCTGAGGACATTATTGATGATGGTCTGGAAAGGGGTGAATGTTGCCTGGATCTTAAAAAAGGGTAAGAGGGTGGTGATAACTATGAGGACATTTTGTCCTAGGAGATAACAGCTTCTTGTCTCTGGAGGCGGATGACTGGATGAGATGAACTCCTAAGAATCGATCCATTTCTAAGAAATTGGACCAATGAGATTGGTCTGTGAAATTGATTGCCTAGATGTGGCTGATAGTTCTGCACCTGGAGAAGTAAAGGCTACTTAAGGTGAAGAACACAGTAGAGGCTTGACGTGGCTTTTGACTGCTTCCAGCAGTTTGGGGGAGTTGGAAGGGGTCGAAAAGAGGATAAGTTAATCAACGTTTTCAAACATGCATCTGTTCACCAAGCCTTAAAGAAAGAATGGCACACTGGGGAAAACCCAAATATAGGGAACATTTGTACGAAAGCAATTTAATTTGATAGCAATTTTCTCTAGTCCCTTCGCGAATATTCTTGATGTCTGGGGTTGATTAAGAGCTTTCTTTCTCAAAATCCTCTTCGACCTTCACAGGCCACCTTCCTTTTCGGTTGAGCCTAGTAGGTAAACCTCAGCCTGTTGGCAGCAAGGAGTATGATTCCACCAGGTTCCCGTAGTTCTAGCAAAGAAAAGGCAAGGGTTTGGAGGAGGGAGAAGTAATGAGCGAGGAGCTCAAGGCAGAGAATGGAGGCAGCACCTCCCTGGGAAGGAGACCTAGCTTGAGAAGTGAGGCAGATAGCAAAAAAGGGGGAGGGGGCGTCTAGAGACCTGGAATTTTGTTTTTAAAATTTTTTTTTTTTTTTAACGAGGAACAACTTGAAGAGAACCTGCCAGGACTCTGTTATAGGGAGTGGTTATGAGTGTCAGATGGATGAGGAAGAGCAGAATGGGCCACACATTTAGGAGAACACAGGTCAGGGATGGATCTTACCACCCACATGACTTACACTTTCAACCTTTGTGCTTACATGACCCTATTTCCTTTTGGGCCCCTGTTGGGGTTCAATCTCAGGCCAATCCGACCGCAAAGCCTGAACTCTGATGCTCAGTACTGTATTAGGGCCAGAGGAGAGCCCTCCTCCCCTAGTCTGCTCTCAGGTTCTCTGGGTGTGGGCAGGACACTACAACTGCCTCCACATCATCACTACCCCATCCTAACAGAAATAAAGGTCTTGGATCCTAGTCGCCTGGATACACACCCTCCCGTGGTTTACCTGCATCCATGGCTCACCACCTTGATGGGAACTAATGAAGATCTCTCATGAATGAGAAGATGTGGCAATCTGAAATTTAGGGCTTCACATTTTCTCTGATAGGCGTTACTCACAGAGGGAAGACTGATTTAAATTGTTCTTCATTGACTGGCTAACTAACCAATCAACCAACCATCACTTATGAAGAGGGTTTAGTAGGTGCCCAGGAACCATATTGAGGACTTTGGGAAAGATGTATGGGACCAGGTGTCTGTAATCAAGGCCCTGACAGGTTGGGAAGCAAAGACTCAACCCCAACAAAATAGTGTACAAGAAAGGGGGGCATTGTGGAGGGGACTCCTATTGCTGCTGGAGCACAGGGTGGGGATTGGGCAAAGGAGGCTGGGCCAGGGCCAGGAAAGAAACCCGGGAGTGGGGAGGAGGACACTTCAGAATTAAGCTGCAAAATGAGGGCCGGAGGTTGTAGGAGTGGTTTCAAACATGGCACCTGAAGCTTTTTACTCATACACTGAGTTCTTGGTTTTGGGCTCAAATTCATTTTTATCGGATTCTCTTTGAGGAATTAAAAGAGATTGCCTTGCCCCCCACAAATCCTCCATCCTATGCTTCCCTACCTGAGAGCCAGGTCTGTCCCCTCTCCCTGCACCCGCTGCTGCAGACCAGAACAGTGAGAGGGAGCAGGGCTCATGGTGACTGGAAGGGATTTTAGTAGAGTTGGAGCAATCAAGTGAGCCTTCTTAAAAAACACACACAAATGAACAAAAATGCAATCCAACAAAACATGGCCATTTTCATATGGACCTTGAACCTCAGACTGAAAGTCCTCTTGCTTCCCCAGGAGTTCTTCCTTTAGCATCACTGAGAGGTGGGTTAGGTACACAGTGATGAGTGACGTAAGGTCTCATCTATCTCCCATTTTCCTGATTTTTCAGAGCAAGAGTCATTAAACATCCACTGGACTGTTTCAGGAACTCTCTCCCCGCTAGAAAAGTCAAATATTCTCCAGTGTCCTTATCAGTAGATCTCCATACGATGGCATGAAGGGTGAACAGCCATACCTAGTTAAGAACCAAACCTAGTCTAAGAGATGTTTACCCCAAGGGGTCTGGAACACTGCCTGGTGGCGTAAGACCACACATGCTGTGCAGAGGAAACACCCCAGACACTCCAACCTGCACCGGGAAATTCCCCACTGAGCGTGACTGAGGCCTCAAACAAGAATGCTTTCTCTCACAGTTCTTTCTCCCCCTGCGGCCCCCGCCCCCACACCTTTGTTTTCTTCCTCATTTTCTTTCTTCTTTTTTTTTTTTCCTTAAATTAAGATCCTTGGGGTTAGTTTCTTTTTCTGTTATAGAAAAATTGTGACCTTCACTTTCACCACTTCTGCTCTGCTGTGGTCTACTATGAGTGTACTGGTGTTGACATTGTTCTGTGTACTTTCTGTGTGGTACAGGGAGCTTCATAGGGTTGCTAAGAGAGTTAGTAGCCAAACCACTGGCTACTTTTATATAAATGATGTAAGACAGTCCATCCCCGGGTCACTTGTGCACAGATCATTTCAGGACACTGACATACACAGGTTCTCTAGAGCAGTGGTTGCCAACCTTTCAGACCTCATGGGCCATCAGTAGTCCGTGGACCACCAGTTGGCGACCACTGCTCTAGAGAGTCCCTTCCATGCCTACTCTGAGCAGTGGATTGAGAGGCTTGGTTGAAGCCTAGGACAGGCTTGCCATCCAGAATGTGTAGCAGAGACACCCAAGGGCCATCCACTCTGTACCTGAAGGGAATATGGAGGAGTAGTAGACTGGGGGCAGCCTGGGAACAGACTACCTGCTTCTTTTTAAAAACTATTTTTATTAATTTCAGAGAGGAAAGGAGAGGGAGAGAGAGATAGAAACATCAATGATGAGAGAATCATTGATCA